AACCTGATGTTATGGTATGCCAAACCTCCCGCTTTATGACCATGATAAAAAAAATATCGATTAAAACTACGTGACAGAAATACAACACAAACACACGCAATAACACGCACAATCAACAGGACAGGTGCAAATACATGAGGTGGGTTTAAACGTTTTAGTAGGTACTAACCTTTACCCTTACATGAACCAATCGTGTAACATCACAACATAGAACGACACACTATAAAGTACCGGAAAAAAGGGGTGCTTTGCGTTGAATGAGGTTATGCTTGAAATTTTGTTTCTTGATTTCTTGAACATCTCAAGATTTTTACACATCGCCATGCTATTTGCCTGTGGCGCATCGCAGTTTATTTTGGTTTTTTTTATTCTTTTCAGAAATGCAACTTTGTACATTTCTAGTGCCCAATTTCATAATTTCAGAGATTTGTACCGTAATTTAGAAAGGGGCAAGTTTTGACAACTGTATATAACAAAATAAAATTTAAAAAAAGCAACAGTCGTCGGTTAACATGCCTAGCATAAACAGGTTAACTATTCGCGTTTGGTAATTTCATCAATGTTGTTTCTATACTTATTGCACATCATTATGTTGATTTTGGGTGTAGAGAACATACATTGCCATACATTGCTTTGTTTTGGGGCCTTGCTTCAGATGTTTAATTACTAGTTTGCAAGTTACCAGTATGGGAAGACATGATTGTAAAACCTTTGCCTTGTTATGCATTACTGATTAAATAGCTATTCAACTGTTTCGGTTTAATGCATACTTGGCTTTGTGCGTTCCTGTTGGAGGTAAATCCAGGAAAGCCCTTTGGACGCATCGGATTTTTAACGTGTTGATTTCAGTTTTTTTTATTGCGACATTAGCCGATTTTAATAAGAATAAAAAAATAACAAGATCATCATAAGAAAAACATATTATCTAGTTTATTGTTCGTACAACAAGCATCTTCTTTATTAGTAGCAGCAAATCACTGGGTTTGTTTTGCTTAAAAGATGATATAATGAAAGTTTAATTGTATTTATGTATGATAAAACAGGGACAGCTGAGGAACTTTTATCAATAACGTCTGATAAGAATGTGCTTAACAATATTTTGTTATTCATTTTCGTTATAAATAAACTCATTATAGTTGCAGATAAAACAACATACTTCCCTTTATAAAAAAAAACCGATGGAAAATGATAAAGAAAGCTAGTTCAGTCAAAAAGCTCCAATCAATTCACACGAATCCATCCCTGAGAATTTTCCATAGTTTATATTGAATACAAGCCGATATTGGCAGGATGTAGATTTTGTTTTATAAACAATCATGTATTCAATTTATTTAAGTACAAATTCATTGTTATTCAACTGTAAGTCGATAGAGGCTTTATATAATGTGAGTGTTTGATTTTTTAAAAGGACACAAGTCGAAACAAATGTTTGATTCTTGTCAATTTATACATGAGCTGAAAAGAATATTTGTATTGAGTCATTATCATTTTGTATCGTAAAGCTCTATATTTTTGAGATAGTTAATTATGTCAGAAATTATTGCTGATTTTGTAATGAGTCTTTAGCCTACATTCATTGACTTGTTGAAAGGCATTTTGAATGTCCACAAAACTAGTACTTGCATTTTTGAAATACATACGTTTTTTTAGAATTACGGCTATGAAAAAAAAAAAAAACTTGTAATGTTCTTAGACAGAAATTTATAAGTTCACCTGGCCCAGAGGGCAAAGTGAGCTTTTCTCATCACTTGTCGTTCGTCGTCTGTCGTCCGTCGTCCATCGTTAACTTTTACAAAAATATTCTCCTCTGAAACTACTGGGCCAAATATAAATAAACTTAGCCACAATCATCATTGGGGTATGTAGTTTAAAAATGTGTCCGATGACCCGACCTACCAACCAAGATGGCCGCCACGGCTAAAAATAGAACATAAGGGTAAAATGCAGTTTTTGGCTTATATCTTTGAAACTTTCAGACAAATCGGACAACTCATTGTTGGGTTGCTGCCCCTGAATTAGTAATTGTAATGAAATTTTGAGTTTTTGGTTATTATATTGAATATTATTACAGATAGAGATAAACTGTAAACAGCAATAAAGTTCAGCAAAATAAAATCTACAAATAAGTCAACATGACCAAAATGGTCAATTGAACCCTTAAGGAGTTATTGTCCTTTATAGTAAAATTTTTAACAGGATTTTGTAAATTTTTGTTATCTTATAAAAATCTTCTCCTCTGAAACTACTGAGACATATTTAACCACACTTGGTCACAATCATCATTAGGGTATCTAGTTTAAAAACTGTGTCCGATGATCCCAACTGCCAACAAAGATGGCCGACATGGCTAAAAATAAAACATTGGGGTAAAATGCAGTTTTTGGCTTATATATCTGAAACTTAAGCAAACGTGTAACAGCAGCATTATAGCATGCATCAATTGTAAATAAAAATATCAGGTGAGCGACACAGGCTTCTTGGAGCCTCTAGTTGTAATATCAAATAGATGATTATCATGATTATTATAGTTTTTCTTTTTAAAGGTGCACTAGCTACAAGAATTTATAAAACTCCTGAAATAGGATTTTGTTTTTGTTCAATCATTAATGAAAGTAAAATATTAGTGAAAGAATATTTAACTTTAAGCATCCAGTATGGTTCAATTTTGTCAAGTTAAGCTAAGAAACATTGATGATGAATTTTTCCCTAGCGAGTGAATAATTCGATCTTATTGAATGCGTATTCATATGAACATCAATCTAACATCTTAGCTAGAGATGGATAACGCATGCAATGTGTGTGTTCGGTTATTTAAAGGGAAAGAATGTCAACATTAAAAGTGAAACAAAGGTAAATCCTCTGATTATCTTATTAGATTTCAATATATCATTCTTATACAGGTATATTTTCAATCTATAATATAAACTTAGACAGACCTAGAAAAATGCAATTGCACGAGTTCACTTTCTATTTATATATACATTTTTGATAATATATCGTTTATATGACCATCGGAAGTCTTCCCAGGTCAACTCGATAATTAATTAGATGGCGTACAGACTACAACACATAAAACAAAGCTACACATTATCGAGCCCATGCCCTGTAATTTTTTTCAAAGCTCAAATACATCAAACGAAAGGAAAACAACTGTCATATTCCTGACTTTGTACAGGCATTATCCCGTGCAGAAAACAAGTAAGAGATTAAGCCAGCTATACAATTCTCCATTTTTCTTCAAATTAAGGCGGTACCAAGACAGGTTAAGGGCGGTTGTTTCACTTGATCGTTGATTGATAGTGTTCGGTTTTGGCAGTTTTTATGGACTTTTATTTTCTTAATTTACCTTGGACCTCAATATTTTTGTTATGCTTTTTTAATTGACTTTATCATTTCATTACATTTTTTGTTTGTTTTGTGTAATAGAGATGTTTAATGTTCAGATGTTTATTTCGAAATATAAATTCACACGCAGTAACTGCGTAACATGAGCGAAAATACGAAATGTGTACAGCTATCGAATGGAGAAGAACAAAGTTATTACAAAACCGTGAAAGGAACAACATGATATCATTAGTGGTAGGATGCATATTTAACTCATCCCATTCTGCTTTCTTGGACATTTATTATAACCTTCTCCTTAAGTATAAGAAATAAAAAGTCATAAGCTCTATAAAATGAAGGACAGTTCAAACCTCAAACAGATTTAATACATAAATGTGTATATCTAACCATCTAGTTTGGCACATGTTTTTTATAAAACCAGGGAAGAAACAAAATGATAGTATAAGGGGTAGGATGCATATTAAGCTCCTAACAATATGCTTTCTTGGACATTTATTTTTACATAATGTATTTAAATAATAAGCTCAAAAGCTTTATAGAACTGTGGACAGTTCAAAATCTCTAACAAATTGCAATCTTATATATGTTGAAAATGAAAAAAAAATCGGTTTAATTGTGATTGCAAAACCATTGTTATATATTTACCTTCTATCTTGTTTTACCATTTTTTGTATTTCTAAAGATGTAAAGAAGGAAGAACTTTGTACTTTTGAAAAAAAAAATATTTGTAAATCAAGCCTAATGTACATAGTTTTCCATTTGCGATTAAAACATATTAGGGTAGAAAAGTCAAGCAGCAATTAACATGATTAAGTTCACTAAATATGAATGATTTAGATTGAAGTATCACATTTTAATTGGGTATATATTGATTCTAAACTAAAAAAAGTGTGTGTATGCGGATTTGACAATATATTAAGTTACCAGAGAAGCAACACTTGTAACATCGATTTGCAATTCAATTTGGAAACACAACTTATTTATAGTTTCTAGATATAACAACTCGATGAAGCTGATTTAACAAGATATTTAGTTGAGATTATTGTATTCTCAAGATTGCTACTAGATAGTTTAGTGAAAATTTATATAACAAAGTGTTTAACATGATAATGTAGGTAATGTTGTACATGTAGCTACATGTAGAATGTCGAATTTGAAACATTAATCTAAATCGTAAAAAAAATAGGTCATCATCTGATAGTCTCGTCTATACGTGATAGATACATGGGTAATGATTCGGTAAATGTAAATTTCTGCCCTAACCCTTGATCATTCTAGTCACATTGACAGATTAGAAAAACACAGTTGTTGTAGACTGTTAGGTACATGTATATATATCTTAGTTTAAATGAAATGTAACTTTTGTGAAAGACCTGAAATCGTGTCAGGTTTTAAGACTTTGATATGCATAAGATATTTGTGCAACTAGTTAGACTGTTAACTAGTTAATTATAAAAAAACATATATATTTGGAAACAGTGTGGCCAAAGCTAATACATGAGATTGGAAGTGGTGAACAAAGCGTAATGTATACATTGCTAAGTTTTGTGTACAATGTGAACATTTATTGATATAGAAATTAAATCATGATTTTGTTAATGAAAAAAAAAACATATTACAAACAACTAATTTGAATATGTTTTCTTTTTTAACAGAACTGAGATTAAAATCCACAGTAGGTGACCTCCACGTTGTGAGATTTGGAAACGGCTAGCTATCCCGCTGTCTAACTCCATACAAACCAGTAAGTATTAAATTTCCATGAGGTCATGTTTATATATTGGGTGTAAAGGTTCAGTACATGTATCACTAAGCTAAATACCATGGAGGACTTTCTGTTGCAAACTACGATGGTTACCTTCATTTGTAGCGACGACGATTGGGGTTATCTAAACGGATATTTGCAAAAACAACGGCTTTAGAAAATGGTCCATATTATAACCAGGACGTTGATGAAATTATCCTATTTATACTCATGATAGTAGTGCTCTTTGAAATGACCTTTCAAAAATTCTCGATGAAACCTCGGATTGGACTATAATCTCCATTTGAATTTAAAAATATACAAACTGCTTTGTTTTAATCATTGTTTTGGATTTCGTAAAAGTTATGACTTTATACAAATTCTAGTTTTTGGCACCATAACAGTTGAACGATAAATAGGTCATATTCAAAACAAAGACGTTAAAAGGCTTTATGAACGACTGATATTGATATCAAATTTGGCACAAAAAAGACATGTTCAATTAAATGGGGTGACCTTTATAAATGTAAGAAAGAAGATGAGACAACTCACAAGAGCCCAAATGACACAGAAATTAACTGCTATAGTTCTCCGTACGGCCTACATCAATGTGCACAGCCCATACCGCATAGTCAGCTATAAAAGGCCCAGAAATGAAAAATGTAAAACAATTCAAATGAGAAAACTAACGACCTAATTTATGTACAAAAAATGAACGAAAATAGATATGTAACACATCAACAAACAACAACCACTGAATTACAGGCTCTTGACTTGGGACAGGCACATACATACATACAGAATGTGTCGGGGTAAAAACAAAAAACAAAAAAAATTATGAACTTTTACCATTTTATCGTATTTGCCTATTAGGTAAACAAAAATTTGAAAACCAAAAATGATCAGCAAGGCAAATCTACAAATTAGTCAGATGAACGAAGGCATTATTCAACAACTTATTCAAGAAATAACTTTTTGATGATGATTTTATTTCTTTTCAACCTTTTGCATATTTGCATGTTATATTTGAAACTATGATATAATCTTAAGAGATCAAAAATTATCAAAAAGACAAAATCTACAAATATGTCAGCATGCTGTCATAGGATCTCTTTTCACGAATTTGACCTACCGAATTAGACTTATTACCGGATTTGTATGAACATGAGCAACTCGACGGGTGCTACATGTGGAGCAGGTACTGCTTACCCGTCAGGAGCACCTGAGATCACCCCAGTTTTTGTGGTGGGGTACGGGTTGATCAGTCTTTTTTTTTCTATGTTGTGTGTCTGTTTGTTTTTTTCTTTTGAGCCACGGCTTTGTCAGTTTATTTTCGATTTAGGAGTTTAAACGTCACACTGGTATCTTTCGCCCCTCTTTTACAAAAATGAAGTCCCTTGACCATCTTTGAATTGAGATATTTTACCGCGATGGAAATTACGAAAAGATGATTACAGGAGAAGGTCCGGTAAGTATATAAGGGTTAATTTCGGCATAAATTCGAAGTACGTCTAACTAAAGATTTTTGACATTTTTTAAACCCTTAAGTATCTACTTCATTCGATTAAATTGGTTATTGTAAAAGTATTGGACCGACTTGGTCATTTAAAACGCTTACATTCAAGTTTAAATGAGAAAAATCCATTAATTATGCCATTTAACCGCACTTTTCAGACGGATTTTGTTTAAAATGGAAGTGGCCGCATTCGTGTTCACCCTCAACATTTATATATGTTGTGTATTATCATTGAATACACCATATATGTAAATATTTAGACTGAACACAAGTGCGGCCACATTCATTTTAGACAAAACTAGTTTTAGTATTAGCACAAATATTTAAATTGTGAAGATACCAGTATCACGGTAGGTATAGTGGCCGGCTAGGATCGTGGTTATTCGAGTATTTTGATCGAATTTTTTCGAGTATGACCACTTTTTTCGAGTACATATGATAAAAAATGTAGACAAACAGACTTCCTTTAAAACAAAAAACGTGATATAAAGGCCTTAGTTTAATATACAATGTTATACAAGGTATGTAAGCATTGGAGATAAACAAATATTATCAATACGACATTTTTTTTTCGTTAAAAAACGTAAATTAAGCCTCACAATGCTTTTATTCGAAAATACAGAAAAAAACCATTTTATACACATACCAATGCAAATGTCGGATAAAATGCATACATGGAATCTATAGATACTTAAATATACAGACACTGTACATAAAATTCTTTTTATTGCATTGAAAACTGACATTTTGAGACTAAGTTCATTTCTATGTAATCGGGTTTTTTCGAGAGAAGTCCGGGCTTTTTCGATTGCGCCTGTGTTTTATCGAGTGATTATACAATTTTCCTATAGCTTAACATGTTATCTGTCAGTCTATTTACGTTTTTAAGCAATAAAACAAAGGTTCAAATTAAGTACTTTTCAAGGCATGAAACCAATGCATTCATAAATTTGATAATTGCGTACTTACACTAACATGTTAAAAAAAAGCTAATAAATTACATATACAATAAATATTCGTGATGTCAACAATATAATGTAAGCATAAACAATTTGGATTCTGACTTACATACATATAGACTTACATACATGTCGTAATGTTCTATTGTATTGTTAAATTTTGTATTTCTCTGTCCTGAATGTTCTTCCATTTGTTTGCATTGTAGTCCTGTCATGTAATGTTGTCATTTTAGTGTTAAATTTAACATTGCCATAAAAATGGGAGGTTTAGCTAACCAAAAAACCAGATTCAACCCACAATTTTTTCTTAAAACGTCCTGTACCAAGTCATGAAAATGGCAATTGTTATCTTATAGTTCGTTTCTGTGTGTGTTGCATTGTCGTTTGGTTTTTTGTTGCACTTTGGGGACGTGTTTTTCAACATACCGTCGGAATTCCAATGGGAACCAATTGTGCCCTCTTCTTGACGACTTGTTTCTTTATTATTATGAGGCTGACTTCATACAGGAACTTCTTAGGAAGAAAGATAAGAAGTTAGCAATATCCTTTAACTCTACGTTCCGCTATATAGATGATGTTCTCTCACTAAATAATACAAAATTTGGTGACTATGTTGAACGAATCTATCCAATCGAACTATAGATAAAGGATACTATAGATACAGTTACGTCTGCCTCATATCTTGACTTACATCTAGAAATTGACAATGAGGGTCGGTTGAAAACAAAACTTTACGACAAAAGAGATGATTTCGGCTTCCCAATTGTGAACTTTCCATTTCTATGTAGCAACATTCCAGCAGCGCCTGCATATGGAGTATATATCTCCCAATTGATACGATATTCCCGGGCTTGTGTTTCCTATCATGATTTCCTTGGTAGAGGATTGCTGCTCACAAGGAAGCTATTAAACTAAGAGTTCCAAATGGTGAAGTTGAAATCATCCCTTCGTAAATTTTACGGACGACATCACGAGTTGGTTGACCGTTATGGAATAACCGTTTCACAGATGATATCTGATATGTTCCTTATGTCGTAACTACAATACCCTTCCCTTTTCACGAATGTGACTTACCGAATTAGACTATTTACCGGATTGGTAATAACATAAGCAACACGACGGGTGCCACATGTGGAGCAGGATCTGCTTACCCTTCCGGAGCACCTGAGACCACCCACAGTTTTTGGTGGGGTTCGTGTTGATTAGTCTTTAGTTTTCTATGTTGTGTCATCTGTACTATTATTTGTCTGTTTGTCTTTTTATTTTTGGCCATGGCGTTGTCAGTTTGTTTTCGATCTATGAGTTTGACTGTCCCTCTGGTATCTTTCGTCCCTCTTTTAGTGTTTCTGTTGTTTCGTTGTTTTCCTCTTATATTTTGATGTGTTTCCCTCAGTTTTAGTTTGTAACCCGGATTTGATTTTTCTCAATCAATTTATGACTTTCGAACAACGGTATACTACTGTTGCCTTTATTAAGCCGATGAAGTATTCATTTCATTTTTAATCATGTATGAAATTTAATTCAAATTTCATTGTCAATGGGAAAAGAAATGTGGCGAATTAAGTGGAGGACTTTCTGTTGCAAACTACGGAGGCTACCTAACGACGATGATTAGGGTTATCTAAAAGGCTACTTAGGAAAATAATGACGATTGTCTTCGAAAATTTTCCACATTTTAACCAGGACGTTGATGAAATTATCCTATTTGTACTCATGATAGTAGTGCACTCTGAAATGCCGGTCATGAGCTTTCAAGAATTCTTGATGAAACCTCGGACTATAATCTCCATTTGAATTTAAAAAATACAAAATGCTTTGTTTTAATCATTGTTTTGGTGTAAGATTTCGAAAAAGTTATGACTTTATACAAATTCTGGTTTTTGGCACCATAACAGTTGAACGATATATAGGTCATATTCAAAACAAAGACGTTAAAAGGCTTTATGAACGACTGATATTGATATCAAATTTGGCACAAAAAAGACATGTTAAATTAAATGGGGTGACCTTTATCAAACAAAAAGAATTATGAAGTTTTACCATTTTTATTCATGTTTGCATATTATGGTAAACATTATTATAGCTAAACAGAAATTTTAAAAGAAAAAATGATCAGCAAGGCAAGAAAATCTACAAATTAGTCAGATGATCGAGAGCATAATTCAACACCTTATTGAAGTAATAACTTTTTGATGATGATTTTATTTCTTTTCAACATTTTGCATATTTGCATGTTAAATTGGAAACTATTTAAGATAGATATAATTTTAAGAAATAAAAAATTATCAAAAAGACAAAATCTACAAATATGTCAGCATGCTGTCATAGGATCTCTTTTCACGAATGTGACCTACCGAATTAGACTTATTACCGGATTTGTATTAACATGGGCCACACGACGGGTTGTACATGTGGAGCAGGTACTATTTACCCTACCGGAGCACCTGATATCACCCCCAGTTTTTGGTGGGGTTCGTGTTGGTCAGTCTTTATTTTTCTATGTTGTGTTTTGTGTGTTTTTGTGT